TGGGGAACTGGCCGCCAGAGCGACCTTGGTTGACCTACTCACTCGAGGTCTTTCGAGGTGTTGCCGTGACACTGCCGTGACCCCGTCCCCACATCCAAAAAGGGCTCCAGGCCTCTGAGACCCCAGCTCGAATGGAGCACCAAGATTTCGGCGAGCGGGAGGGCACGGGAGGGCAACTCGAACAGCGGTCCCAGATCCTTGGTTCGCTGATCAGGCCAACGAATTCTTGGAACACGTCTTGGCACATTCAAAGACGTGTTGAAGCCGTAAGCACAAGACGCGCAAGGCGCGCAGCACCCGAGGTGGCGGGAACCATCTTACACATTCAACTCCCCCCCAGAAGGCTTTCGGAAGTCAAGGTGGTTGAGAGACCAAAGTGTCAAGGTGGATGCTTTGCTCGGCCCATCACAAAACAGTTTGATAAGAGTTCAAACAAAACAAAACCATACAAAACCCACTTGGTGCCGTCCAAGCTTCTCAATTTGATCTATTTGCTGCGCTTTTGAAGCTGCTATGCACTCCACCGCACGCTGCGCAGTAGAAGGGTCTTCCAACCACTGCGGGAGTGCCTTCAGAAACATGTCGACACCTCCCGCGTGCAGCTGAGAAGACACCTCCTCGCGCAGCTGTTGGACGTTCAAAAAGCTGGCAGTCGCCAGCCAAAGCTCGCAGTCGCCCGTCACACCTGACGATGCCACCAGTCCACTGGTCATGAGAGCGACGGGCGACGGGCAACGCCGCAGCCACGCGCAAGCATGTTCTTTGGCACCAGGAGGTTGCTTCTCCTCGGCGGCAGACGCATGGTTCAACTCATCTTGCGAGAGCAAGATGAATGCAAAAAGTTGAGACTGAAGGTAGGACCTGTGAGTCGGTGGATCCAGCTTTGATTTTAGGCTACCAGAGGCAGCTGTTGGAATTGGCTGGCGAAGAACATTTCAGGCCTGGCTTCTTCAGCGAAAACTCGTAAACCTGTAAACCTCAGATCTCAACGCCCCTCCTCTCCCCCATGACAAAGTCTGATGGGGGGCACTTCCCCAATGTCAAGCATGGCCTTCAAGAAGGCCTTCTCTTCATTGACCGGGCATTTTGGCATGCTCGGCAAGTGGCGAGTTGGAGAAAGCTCGCCTTGTCATAAATCCACTGCTCACAAATGGAGAATCAGCTCCAGCTCATCTTCGGCCTACTCATCTGCCTGAAGTTGGGGCGGCGCGCTTGGCGAAGGACGACTGGTAGGAAAAGTTGAGTCACCAACATTTGCATGGGGTCATCCATGTACCTGCAGGCAACCCATGGCAACCCCTACCAAAAAACCCAGTGCTTCAGCCACCTTCAGCAAAAGAACATGATGAACATGACCTCCCCAAAAGAGTCCTCTTGGGGGTTTCCCGGAGTGAACTAGTCTCCTACGGTAGCATGCAAAAAGGTTGGTCGAAGGTCGCACCGAGTGTCTCCCTCCGCTTTCTCCATGTTCTGCAGATTGCTCTCTTCACTTGGCCGGCATGAGGGTCTTTAAGGAGTCGTTGCAGTCACCTGGAGCCTCTCGAAGGCACCTGAACGCTCTTGGGATCGGCTCTGACGCAAGGCGCACCCCAAGCAAATCCTGAGCGCCACTTGTGGCGTACAGTCAACAGATCAAACTGTGAATGCCAAATTGGCGAAGACGATTTCTATTCCAATCACATGATGCAAGTGATGCAGCTATAAGGAGTTAGCATATCTCAGATCACATGATGTTCAATCATTCTCAATTACGCATGTTGATTGCTCGTCTTCATTTTGATCCGTTCTGGAGCAACTTGGCAAAGCCAGGCCACAGACCATCAGCTGCCCACGCCAGGCAGAAACCGGAGCGCTTGACCTGCTAGCTGCGACCTGATCAGGGCATTTGGGCGATGTCTTGGCCAAACTTGGGGCCATTGTGTCTTAACTTTGTGTGGGGCTTGGATGCAATGATGTTCTCACTGTTGGATACTTTTGGCTTAAATGCAGGTCTTTGGCACGTCCAAGCCCCACCTGACCACTTGTGTGTTCGGCCACCTGACCGCCCAAAGAGCAGATCTCCGCATCCAAAGCGCTCCAAAACTCACCGCAACCTGGGCACAGGTGATAGAGAATGGAGGTCCTGTGGACCACCCGCTCCGTCGAGGAGGCGGACCTGGAACCTACAGGCACTGATTGGAAGAGCAACCCAGTAGAGCCTGTCCATGGTAGAAGATATGAATCTTGACCGATATGAAGGGCCCCCGACAAGCACCACTTCTGGTGCGACGTCTTTTTTTCGCTGCACTGCCAGTTTCAACGTGAAAAAGTCTCGGGCGAAGCCTTCACCATTGGAACCCTCACAAGATGCAAAGAACATCAAATCCGAGCCTTAGAAGGACTTCCGTGAGCCCAGCCAACTGCCAACCCATCTCTCGTTCCGTTTGGGGAGTCCTTCGGCACCTGCCCTGCTACGTTTCACAGCCAAACGTCACAATCAACGGATGCTCATCCTCCATCCGGGGTTCTCGTTCTGTGCCAGATGTTTTTCGGAAACCCGCTGTTCTGTGCCAAGCAGCTGTCGCGGTCATCATGGTCATCCAAGACCACCACACAGCGAGCCCGAGCCAGCTTCAGGACATGCGCGGGTGCCTGTGCCACGCCAACGGAGTCTGGGATCAGATTAACACGTGTTCAAGGTGCATATGTAGATCAGCATTGATCTAGAGTCTAGACGTTGAACCTGGACCAGTCATCAATGCAAAAACATATTGTTTATCTCTCGGCATGAGCATGCATGAGCAGCACAATCGAAAACTTTAACACCATTCCGCGTAAAGATCTATCCCAAGAAAATCAGGGTCAGAACTCCGCCAAATTCAGAGCTTTCAACTTGACTTCCACTTTGGACCCTTGGACTATCTTGGGCTCCCTACTCTGTCATCTCTGTCCGCGTCACTGCAAGCGCCTGAAATCCAGGCGTGTCTTCTACGAGCTGAGTCGAGGAGGCAGGTCGGATGCTGACGTTGGCCTCTGGGAAATCCCCTGACATCCTGATGGGAATGCTTCAACCTATCCCATCCTATCTATCAATCTAATCTATTCTAATGTATCTACCTTGGGTGTGTCCCATTCCCTGTAATAGTGGATGATGATTGATGGTTAGTAAAGGCCTTTCTCAATAACATTGTGATACATAATCTTTAATTGACTGTTACAGGCCATGGGAAACACACAATATCTACCTACCAAAGTCCCCTGAGAATCAATTTGAGGAGAGATCCTCAGCCTCCACAACTCCACCTGCCGGTCCGCTGCGGGGTGCCTGCACGGTCGGCTGGAAAGCACGGTCGGCGCACAGGACGGTCATCACCTCGCGGGGACAAAGAGCGGAAGAAACACATCTCTTCTCAGTTCCCAGACGCTCCTGGACCCTCATATATGGAGGGGTCTGGGGTCTCAAATCCCTATGGTTTTGATGGACCAAGAGCGTGTGGGTTTCGACAAATCAAGGGAAGCTAAACGAATGTCTATCTGATCAAGAAACGGAACGATTCTTTTTTTATGGATCTTGAGAAAACATCAAACATTGGACTGATTGAAAAGTCCAGATTATCTGACCCAACTGGAACCTGGAAACGGCTGCACCAAACGAGGCTGGGTCCTCAAACCGCCAGTGGTGCATTTCTGGGTCCAACCTGCTGTTAAACAATGTGAAAGCTACATTCCAACCCACGGAATTCTCTACTCTGACCGAAATCGGTTGTGGGAGTGGCTCCTTTCGGAACGCCAGGAGCTGAATGCCACCCCCCCTTCGCCATGAAAGCGAGGCCGAAGGCTCCAAGAACCGACATGTGTGGCCCACCTCCAACATGCGTGGTGGCTCTTCTTCCCCTTTCCAGGGCCAACCGCCGAAGGCTCCCTCTTTCCGGTCCCACCAAACAGGTCACGCACCACGCGACGCCTCGTCTCGCGGAGCGAGTCGCAGCTGCTGAACAAAATGGAAACAGGGGTAACAACTGGCAGACGAAAGCTGTACCGAAAAGATTTTTTCGCATGATTTGTCCTTTATAAATTGAAGCTCGTTATATTTGATCCGGAGCAACGAATCAGTGATTCTTCCATATATTGTCTGCCTTCTATGTATCCCTTGATACCTGCAACAATACCCTTGCTCCAAAATAGCTAGGCAAGGGTTGAATTAAGTCGAACGGCAGCAACTACAGTTCATTTCGACAGGCCTTTGGCCTGGCGAATGATCGGCTTCAACCACTCCACAGTGGGCTCATGAATGAGTCAGCTCGGACCCCAATCTGGACAAAAAATGGAAACGTGTCCAGCTGTGGCCATAGCCCTGTCACTTGATGGAGAAGCTAGTAGGTCTCAGTCTGTTGTGGTTTCTTGCAGCATGATCCCATGCATGCACAACAGCCACTTCGCTGCTGATCCTGCAGG